TTGCTAAACTCGATCATTCTGTTTGAGAATCTGGCTTCTTAACCATGCTCCTTCACTAGTGTAATACGAATAATTAATATGAAAAACATCATGAAAAATAAACGTGTACAAATAGAAAAGAAATAAAACAGATTATCTAGTTTCTTCCAGAGTCGAGTATTCTAAAATGCGGACAGTTTCGTCGTTATTGAGTATTCTAAATGCATGTTTTTGTATAATATGTAGTGGATAACGTAGAATAAAATAATTCGATTAGCGCGCAAGACATTTTTTTCACTGTTCATACCACTGTTTTTTGTGGGAGCCATGTTGGCTCATTTAAAGTAAATAAGTCGGGTCTGATGTAGATAATATATCCAAGAGCCAGAACTCTGTATGGAATGGAAAGTTTTTGAATTCATTCACCCGAACAGAGCTGGACTTAAACTTTCAAGAACTTATTCGCCTCCGGAAAAAAGCTCGATTAGAAGTTTTATATAGCTCTCTCTCTCACTATCGTTCTCTCTATATGTATAATGCATGATTGTACAGTGGGCATAGTTCTTGTCTGTGTGAAGTGGAATTTCGTGGTAATAAAAGGCATTTTGGGGCCAAAATAATATATCCCGAGAAGTAAAATCGGTCAAGTAACGTAAATCCGTTACAGACTGAACTTAAACTTTCAAGAACTTATTCACGTTCGGAAAAAAGCTCGATTATAAGTTTTGCTTCTCTTTTTCTTTCCCGGGCATCCTGCAAAGAAACACCATGTTCCTTTTAAATCGCTGGTACTAAACGAAAGCGATTTAGAAAAATACGAACGAAAAACAAATAATTCTATTTAATATAACCAAGACGTTCAGTTCAGTTCAATTTATTCTGGCATAGCCATGGATACATGAAAAAAACACATTGCTAGTGCAAAAGTTTGTAACAAAAAAAACTGCGTTTGATTAAGAATCTAGGCAGATAACTTTGTTGACATGCCCATGGTGGAAGAAGAGAAGATTGAAACAAAATGGTAAAGAGGAGAACAAAAATAGGAAGAAAAGAAAAGGAGAACAGTACAAATATTGATAAACAATAAAATATCATTAGTCTCACATTTGAAGAAAGAGTTTGAAAGCATCTTTAACAGCAGAGAGAGGCGGTTCTGAGACTATATGCTCCATTAATACAGGGTTCCAGTCCTTAGGAGTTCTCCAGAAAAAGAGCACTGCACTGTCTTATAAGTGGTAAAAGGCACTTTTACCGCTTGAGAATTCGTGCTACGGCGAAGTGACCTCGTGTTCCTAGCTGTAGTTATATACTCTCGACGATTATGGAGAGAGAGAGGTTGTTATATAATTTGTAAAAAGAGACAAGGCGAACATAGCCTTGTTGTTTGAGGATGTGAAGAGAAAGTGAAAAGAGGTCTATTTTTGGACCTGGAGTAAAATAAGTGTATAAGCATTTATCGGCGTTTAAAGTCATTTGATTTTTTTCGCACCAGAGAGACACACGATCAATTTCAGCCTGAACCAAGGTTTCAATGACTGTCTTATTATCTGTTCCTTTGAGTGGTACTAAAACAAAAACATCAGGAAATTTGCGGTCTGAGGCGGATGTTGAAGCATTTGTAAATATCAAGAAGAGTAAGGGATCTAGTGTGGAACCCTGGCGAATCCCAGATGGTACTGAAGATAGAAAAGACTATACTTGTCCATTTTAACGAACTGTGTACGATTTGACAGATATGATTTAAACCATTCTAAAAGCTTTCCTCCAATGACGATAGATTTAAGTTTGTTTAAAAGGGTGGACGTTGGCAGGCGGTCAAAATAGACTGATATAAAGAAATCACTAACGGAAAAAGGTAATGATATGATCTATTACGCTGGTTATGTCTACACTATAGCTCGACGTACTGATATTAAAAATATTTTTCGATGTGAAAATCGTGATTGTAAAGGTAAAAAAATGCTCAGAAAATGTTTTTTTTTCCGCAGCCAGTGCTTCCTATCTGTTACAGGGCGTTGTCATACGAATCTAGCCATGGATTCCTTTTTCTCACAACCAACAGCTCATTCTCATGCTACAAATCCAAATCGTTTTGAAATTAATAAAGTTAAAAGTGAAATAAAACATCGGGCTGCTCATACAGATGAATCCTCGAGTTCAATTTTACACGGCGTTTTACGAACCATGCCACTGAGTGCTGTTGGTGATCTACCCAGTGATGATACATTGTTGAGAACAATTCAACGTCAACGAGAAGCAGTTCCATTAAGTCCTAACAGTTATTTACCTGATGTGTTGAAGAAAACAGATCGCGGAGAAGATTTTATTCTTTATGAAAGTAATCATATGATTATATTTACGTGTAAGTCAAATTTGGATGTATTAAAAAATTGTAATCACTGCTTTGCTGACGGAACGTTTAGTGTAAGATTGGATGATGCCCAGTTTTGTTAAGTATACATGCATTATTATTTCTTAGGTGTGTCCTGATAATTTTTATCAGTTGTTTACTTTACATGGTTTACACATGTATCAAGTCATTCCTCTTGTATATGGTTTACTAATTGGTAAATCGGCTAATAATTATAATGAATTTTTTGAAAGAGTGTTGGAGCAAGGTGATTTTGACTCTGATTCGATATAAACGGATTTTGACAAAAGGGTACAGTCATATCGCTTAAAACCATGTTTCGAAGTTGCTGAAACCAAAAGACTGAGACGAATTGTCAGAGACAAAAGAGACTAAGACGAATTGTCGGGTCACCGAGCATGAGTTACTCTTAGCAATGCGTCTGGGGTCGAACAGGAAGGTCCAAAACCAAACTGAGTGCTACTAGGCATATTATTATCAAGCAGTCAGCATTTGCCGATGGACGATTTTCTCCAAAATTTTGCTAACAACACACAAAAGCGATATTGGCCGATAATTCACAATGAGAGAGCTATTGTCCTTTTGGTGAACAGATGTGATGGTAGCTACTTTCCATTGAGAGGAAAAGGTACCTGTTTTAACCGACGACTGAAATACATGCAATAACTGTCTTCCTAAAGCAAGAAGACACAATTGAATAAATTCCAGTGACAAGTCTTCAACGCCAACACTGGCCGTATTATTCATCGATCCAACAGCTTTCACAATCGCAGTGAGAGAAATATGGACGTCCAAAAAATTTGGTCCATTAGAATTTGAAAAGCATTATCGATCACTGGAATGGAATTTGGTGTAGGAGTAGAATAACAAGAATTAAAATACGTATTAAACATGTCACAAGATTCTTTGACAGATGACGAGATGTGCTTTGACATATCAGACACAAACTGAGGTATACTCAACTTCCATTCTTGAATTTATTTATAGAAGTCCAAAAACGTGTAGGGTCAGAAAAGAGAGAGAGAATTTTTTCAAAATGTTTTTCTTACCTGTTCTGACGAGTTTAACGACAGTGTTCTGGAGAGCCTTGTAGAGAGAATAGTTTACAGCTGTTTTTTGTATCTTCCAACGATTAAGAGCTGGATTTCTTTTCGCCATTTGTTTACGAGTCATCTTAGAAAGTTCTACATTCGGCCGTTTGGTTAAACTAACTCGCTTCAATGGAACATGTTCGACTATGCATCGTCAACATGAGACTGCCAACCACCTAGGACGCATCAGTCGCAAGAAAGAAGGTCTCTGGTATATTGTCTAAAGCACTGTACAGAGCGGGAAGATCCCATTTAGAAAAGCTTTTATATATGTGTGTTTTGCTTGGAAAGTCGTAACATTAATGTCCAGGGAAAGATTAGAGTGAAGTGAATGGAACAACCAGTAGAGGGCTGATCCGTAATCATAGGGGAGTTCCAGAAAGAAGGAAACAGTAAGTAATCAAGACAAGATTCTTTAGTGGTGGTTACTATAGAACGTGAACATTCTAGTCCGAAAACGCTTGACAAGTCGTATAAAATTTTGTACATTGGCTTATCAGACGGATCCGCGTTAAAATCTCTCACAGCGAGTAAGCTGCCATATTTTGAAGGCAAAGATCCCAAAATAAACGATTCCAGTTTAGAAAATATTCGTCTCGAAATGAGGATGAACGATAAGAATTACAAATAATGAAGACGCATTCGTTAATGATGACGCTTATCATAAGAGATTCTGTGTCAGTATCCGCCCCGATGATAGAGTGTTACAATAAATTAGAAACATAGACTAGACTACCACCCCCATGGCGATTACAATCTCGTCTATAAAGGGAATAGCCACCAATATAACACTCTTGATCAGAAATATCAGAAGATAGGTTGGTTTCCTGAAGAGTTATGATATGAGGTTTCCTGGAGCATATCAAAATGAGCTGTTAGGCTCTGTATGTTGTGGTTGAGAACAGTAAGTTTGTAGTTAGTCCCGTTGCAAAAAACATTAGGCTGCCAGAACGAAGCTAATGGGTTCAGATCAGACGAAGAGACAGATAAACTGCTATTAGACGACGAAAAGCAAATGTTAGTGGGATTAAGAGAAAGAGAGAAACTGTCAAGGTGGTTAGATCCTTCAGAGTTACACATAAAAGACTGGACTAATGTGTCAGTTGGTGGTTCAATATAGTGTTTGCAGGAGTAAACACACACGCTTGGGCACAAAGCGATGATTGAATATCTACAGAACAAGAAAAGTTAACTAAAGACTGGGGCAAAGAAGTACTAAATTGAGAGACATAGCAATGGGAGCCATCAGAAGCAGAGAAAAAGGTACATGTGTCAAATAGCGGAACAGGGTCACTAAATATGCCTCGAAAAATAGTCGTCAATCGAGCGACTTAACTCACGAGTTCCTGAGTCACTCAAATGGATACCATCTTCATATACAATAGATCTGTCCTCACAGTTCACTTTGATAATATCAACACCATCAATAGAGGTCAACAACCGATTATATTCCGTAATATCATCACGCACATGATCAACTGAATATTTAGTGCCACGAATAAGAAGAGAAGACAATGTTGTTAATGCTAATGAAGATTGAGGATAAGATTTTTTGAATGACTGGGCGAGTAGTTTTGTTTTGTTTAATGCAATACCAGGATCGCCATATTTCAAATTAATTGTACCAATACTCATAACAAAATGAGGAGATGGCTGAAAATGTTTGTCCTGTAAAAATTCCGTCATTTGTTCGATGGTACAGCCTTTCTTTGTCCGGATTAGGAAGCAATACGGTTTGTTGTTTAGATTGACTGTACCGGGTTCAAGATCTTGAGTGATACTCGATCCTGCTACGGTGACTAAAATAGATGGCGGATGGATAAACGATTTTTGTGAAAAGAGTGAATTCGAATTAGAGCTGCTACTATCAGATTTTTTACTTGAATTCATATTTGCTCTTTTAGGTCGAGATTGTGTGGAACGATTACTGACGGAAGCCTGTGACGAAGGTCCGTTTGATTGCGGAGAGGGGCTGCTGAACCAAGTAAATTGGCGTTGGACTGATATTGATGACATAATGTTCTGAGTAGTAAGTCACGCTGAGCGACGCAGGGCTGGGCAACTCATTCATTTCATCGCCAACTCTCTCAACAGAAATCTCATCTCCAGTTCAACTCGGGCTGCTTCACTTTCGTAAGAAAGATGGTTTTTAGCAGGATTCTGGACGTTTCTGAGCTTTTTCCGTCAGGAAATCGCAAAGAACTTCCGAATTCACTCGTAAATACAGCCATTCAGTCGTTTAGAAGATCAGTTCACAACTATTGAATATGTCCAAAAGTGAAAAACGGAGTTGAGAATAAAAATTAAAAAACTCAACTCCAACTCCGATTCCATCGAAAAAATCGTCAACTACGGAGTTGGAGTTGTCCAGCCCTGGAGCGATGATTGTTTTGAACAGTGGATCAGTGGCATTTAACGAACTATTAGCAATGGAGTCCAATGAATCATCAGAAGCAGAATCAACGACTTTAGCAAATTTTTTAAGCAAGGCTAGTAAGTCATTCCGTGATAAATACAGAAATCAGTTTTCTGGATTGAATTGAGATAGGTGTTTATGATCACTTCAGAAGATTTTGTCATTGTAAAGTTTAGAACAGCAAATTGATTAAACAAAAGTTTCCAAAAATATCAATGGAGAGAATATAGATGCTTGAATTGAAAATATTGTGGAATAAATAGGGTCAAGATAAATGGCCGATAAGCGTCACCGATACGTTTTGCGGCCACTTTACCGGTCCAACAAAATGGTGGCTGAACCAATCAGAATTTAGTTTAATATATATAATTTTTTCCTTTTCTATTGGCATACCATGATAAAAGGAATACAGTCTGTGTGGATTTTCTAATTACTTACGAAAGTGATAGCCTGAAAAGATGCGTGTTTTTAAATAATATTTCATGTTTTAGAGTGTAGTGTTAGCCTCTCATCTATGTTTACGATTAGGACTGGTTAATCCAACAAGCAGTTTTCCATATAATCAGTGTGATTAACGAAAATTGGCGTTTATAAGCGGCGCGCCTCGGTCAAGCTCGAAAAAGACAAACATTAAAACCACTTGTAAGCCATTCTTAATTAGTTTCTTGATCGAATGGAGGATTTAGAAAGTGTCTCGTGGCCTAGTCTTTAAGCGTTTTTTCTTTTAAGAAACGTTGCAAGTAAGAGTTTGAGGATTGTCTACAACTTGTTCTATGAACAGACAGAAGAAATACTTTCGAATAATGCACCTGCTTCTCCCGTAACTTCATTTTGAGTCATCTTTTACACGTTCGTCGTATTAATATTTCTCTCTTGCAGTTAAAATTCACATACAATAGGACTTAATATTGATCATTTCACTACATCAACGCCATGTATTAAGTTAGTTACTTGATTAACAGTTTTCTTCCTCAGATTAAACCATATGGCAGCAGCATCGCTTTGCTTTCTAGGAAACTGACGCAATCAGATATGTACATTAGGAAGTTGATACTCCGGTCAGCGAAATCTAATCATTCAAGATTAATGGGTATGTCACTATGTAAGCGCTTATTGCTTACGCCAAAAGTTGTAGAACCAAATAAACCTGAGAAAGCACCGAAGGCATGTACTAGTAGAATAACATTGGAATCGTCGTTAAATGATAGTCTCAACGGCACTTTGCTCAGCTCTACTTAGAAACAGGAAACTACTGTAGTCCTGGTGAGAAGATAAGTTGTCGTCGTGTATTCATTAATTGCACTTCATTTGTTTTGTTCTTATTCAGGCGATGAAATCGTTATATTGAATGAACAAAATAATGAACACTCGTTGT